CCCGGTAGTAGACTGATTTTATGATGATAAATATATATATTTATTTTATTTATTAACACTTTTTACCAGGATGTCATAATCATTTTAAGAAATGTGTTTTATTGTGATCCTTGGACACTTGAATTTACAACAAAACCTCAAAAATAATGGTCTAGCTAATTAAGGCGTTTCCTTTGCTCTATTTGCAGATATCATCGAGCAAGTTCTTAAGGAAGACGACTACAACAATGACGGTTATTTAACCTACTTAGAATATGTTTTGTCGAGACGTAGAACCGATCGGGGTGCTTGATTCAGTCAATTTATTAATAATTAAAAACAGGCCTATATGCCTTTTCTCTCCATCATGTACTTAAAGTGAGAGTAGGTATCCTGCTTTCGCGACTTTCGGACAATTCCAAAAATAATTTGGGCCCTATTTTATAAATTATATTTTATTGATAACGATTTAGTGACTTTATTGTCTAGTTTAGGCTTTACCTAACGACATCATCGAGCAAGTTCTTAAGGAAAACGACTACAACAATGACGGTTATTTAACCTACTTAGAATATGTTTTGTCAGGACGTAATTGATCCGGGTGCTTGATTCAGTAAATTTATTAATAATTAGAAACAGGCTATGCATTTTTTTCTCCATCATGTACTTAAAGTGAGAGTGGGTATCCTGCTTTTGCGATTTTCGGACAATGCCAAAAATCATTTAGGCCCCATTTTATAAATTATATTTTATTCATAACGGTTTATAGTGACTTTAGTGTCTAGTTTAGGCATACTCTTTATTGTGGTTATCCATATAATTTTAGCATATAGACACTTTGTTCAATCATATATTAAATTTTTAAACATACAACGTGTGATTTTACAGGAGCAAAGCTATTTTTCTTGAAATAAAAGTACTCCTAAAACATGGTGTTCATTGATTATGTTTTGATGTTTAGGTTAATAATATTTGGGTATTGTGATATTATCACTTCATTATTATCATTATATCTTTATGATTGTCACCATCACTGTCACATTAACCGTCAACGTCACCGTCATCAAAAATTGAGGTCATTGTTGGCTTTACTGGATTTTTGCGTTTACTGCTATTCAATATTAAAATAATTTATTGAATTTAGACATTGACATTGACATTATTATTATTATTATAATTATTATTATTATTATTATTATTACTATTATTATTGGCTGATACAAGACAATATAGGCCTAAACAATGTGATTGTAACGTTGACTAATTGCAGACCAGGTAGCTTATGCGACATTTTAAACCTAAGGCTAGATAACATAATAAACAATCATTAATTAAGTATTCAAACGGATTTTAAGATGACAACTACAGTACGTAGTAAATGAATAATAGGGAATACCTTAATGTATTGTAAATGGTTGTAAGTCTCAAAAATATAAATAAATCTTAATAGAGGCGATGTTCATTACATTTTTTTTACCTGCCACCATTTTTACTTCTCTTCTCCGTCAATAATAATTATTATTATATTATATATATATTATAATATATATTATAAATATATATAATATATATAATAAACATTTAGTAAAACTATTAGTGTCAGAAGTGGAAACCACGCCTACAAGAGTAGACAGCGACCTGAACGCAGCGCCTTAGACCGCTCGGCCATCCTGACTTATACAAAAATGGATTCATTTTTGTCAATCATTATATAAAAATTAGTAAAAGCTATTAAATTGTCAAGAGTGGGAATCGAACTCACGCCTACAAGAGTAGACAGCGACCCGAAGGCAGCGCCATAAACCGCTCGGTCATCTTGACTTATATTATGCGTCTAATAGATTCATTATAGGCCTATATTAACTTTTGGGCCATAGACCTTAAATGAATATATGTGTTCAATTCAATTCAATTCAATTCAACAAAACATTTATTTTCTTCCAAATGCACTTAGAAAAACAAAATTACAAATACAAAATACAAAAATTGGAAGAAGGCCAGGTCCCGAGAAGTTGTTTGCAAAAACAAACATCTTGTGATGGGCAGGCCTGAAAAAAAAATAAAAAAATAAATAATAAATAAAATAAATGAATAAATAAATAAATAAATATATAAAGAAAAAAAGAAGAGAAAGCAGCTCAAAACAAAACAAAACAGCACGACGAATTTCAACCTCAGAAAGTTTAATAATTTGAGATTAAGTGTTTTTTCAGTTTATTAGAAAAGGCTCTGGCGGACTACTGCGTCGTAAGGCCTATTCATACACTCCAGTTGGGCTTTATGTCCACTGTGAATTAAATTCTACATTTGACCATACTGTTACTCCACTAAGTCTTGATATTGTAACGAAAATGACCCTCGATACAACAAGTAAGAACAATTACGGGGAATCTGTAAATGGAGGGAAGTTGTGAATTAGGACTCGGAGGGAGGTCCGAGAGGATTAACGAGGAGGGCCGGGACGGTCCTGTGTTGACTAAAGAGTTGTAGGCCTAAGTATAATATTGTTTGGACGTTGTTAAAATTTACATGATTAAAGTTAATGTCAACTCGTTGGAAAACGTTACAATATTTTTCGTTTTATCCGTGTATTCATTACTATAAGTTTTAAATCCATGCCATAAGCTGTAGGCTACCGTGATTTCGAAGTCATTACTGTTATACATACTTTTTTGCGCATCGCAATAGAAAAATGAATTATTGTAGTGATTAGAATGTGCTGTTGTCTCAAATTTATGAAGATTTTATAGTAGTTTGGACTGAAGAAACTGTTATACACACTTTTTTTGCGCATCGCAAAAGAAAAATGAATTATTGTAGTAACTAGAATGTCTTGTCTTAAATGTAGATTTTATTGTAGTAGTACTTGGACTGAAAATTATGGTTACATATTTGTTTAATTCTACTGTAAATCTTTCTTAGGTCAATTAAATTTAAATTATACAAAAACAATCTATTAAAGTCGTATGACGACGTGCGACAAAAATACAATAAACAGGACAATTCACTTTTATCGTTAGTGTCTCCTAAAATTAGGGTACCATTGAATAGGGTCACCAAGGGGTTGGTCCCGGATTGTTGTCTCCTTAATGTCATGCTCCGGAGCAAAAAAAATATTTTTAAGTGTTGTACAACTGATTCAATTTCAAAGACTCAAAACACATATTTGACGAAAAACTAAATTTAAAAACTGGGGGACCTACTTTTTTATACCCCCCTCCCCTCTATTTTTGAATATTCAAAAATCTTGTCTCATTAACCGCTTTCAAGTGTTTCATCATATGCAATTGTGTCTTAGATAAAAAGAAAATTGTACAACATAGGCCCGGATCAAAACGTGTTTTCCCTTCTGAGCCTGCCTTTGATAGGGATTACTTATTCACTTAATTTTTTTTTATCCAATGTCTTTTACCTATTTTCCCAATCAATATCTTTCTTTTATATGCTTTTTATATAATTTCAAACGAAAATGCATATAATCTCTATTTATATCCTTGGAAAATATTATTTATTTTAAACTAAGTGTTCTTGTGGTCATTTTCACCTAATATTCTGGAGGAACCCACCTGTGTAGCAGACCGCAAATTTTGAAATTCCAGAGAACCGCGTGACGTGAGTTGACGATCGATATGGGGAAGAAGCTGTATTTTAGCAAAAAGACGCCATTGTTTAATGATTATATTGTATACTTGTGATACCTATCAACAAAACCACTAAGGTAGGCCTATGTATTGTATTTGTTAAAGTAAAGCAATTCTAACTTGTATCATTTTTAGATGTTACATTGCCAAACAGAACGAGTTAGGTAGCTAGGTGTGTATGGCATGGTGGAAACAGATTAGGACCGACGAACGCTGGCTTGTTTGGAAAAAAGGATTGTTGATGTGATTAGTACGATATGCATTTTTATATACTTGTATATAACGGAAACTAACGGAAAGTAATTTTTTTTATTTGTTGTAGTACATGGATAGTAGGCCTACGTGCTTCAGTGTTCTTGTGGCCATTTTGACTTAATAGTAATATTCATTGCAAAGCCAGAGTGACCACGTGAAATAACGGAGGATATAGTCACTAGGTTGTATTCTAGTAGAAACCTCGATAATTTAATGTGTTTATAGGAATTTCCGTGGTGATATCAACAAAACTACTATAAGGCAAGTATTATAATAAAATATTTGTAACTTGAAAGTTTATGAAATGCCTGTTACGCCCAACAATACGAGATAGTTTCTTTTTAATGTGTGCGTTGCATGGTGAGGTCTAAATATTCTGAGACACAGCTGGGCAATATATAGGGCCGCTTCTCAATTAATTTCCTTCCAGGGCCACATTATCATTATCATCATTATTATCATTAGTTAACAAAACACAGAAAAGGTTGTTTCTAGTCTTCATTTTCATCCTCCATATCTTCATTTTATTTTCCTGTTTTCTTCTCTCCCTCATATTTTTATATTAAGCCTAAACTTTTCCTCATTTTTAAATACTTTTTTTTCTCTTTTGTAGGGATTTCACCTACTTTTATTTCCAATAAAATACATTATTCGATGTTAAAACAAGTTTATATAAGATTAATATACATAAGAATATTTAAAAGCACACATGATGCGCATGCAACTGGAAATAAAATAAAATGGGGTCAGTCCAAAACTCCTGACTAATACATTTTTTAACATTCATTTCGAATAATTCAGTGGTTATACACATTTTATTATACTTTCCTTTATACATTTTCTTAATAAACGCCTAAGAATAATATCTGCCACTATCCTAGACACAAATTCATCCTTTTCAAAGCTCTTAAAAATATAATTTGAATATAATTTATATTCCTGGTGCACATGTATCTAAAAGCGAAACATGTGGCAGTCAGCTGACTAATTCATTTTTTTTGCTTAAACATCAGTTAATATAAAGTTCCTTTAAGTTCAATCAACCTTGTATGTTTTGTAAAGTATACCCAATACGATTCAATGAATCAGGAATATATTATTTCTGATTTTTTTTAAAATTATTTTTATTATTCATTTATTTTATTTTATTTATTTATTTATTTATATATAAACCTATATATACTTTTAGTTAAGACATCATTCTTCTATGTCAAGACCTTCATACAACATTGTATTCTATTCATTCATAAGATCCATTTACTTAATTCAACTTCACATATACATAATTTTCAATTTCATTTTTTTTTTTAAATTATACTATTTGTTACTTTTTTATCTTCTGCTTCCGTTGTTGTTCGTCGTAATTAATAATTGATTCAACTTACTGTAAATCCAAAATAATTGGTTTGTATTTTTTTCATCAGGAAGGTGCTAAGCTTAGATTATTTTTATTTAACTATACTTTATCACCCTTTGTCAATTATGTTGTTATAAATATTTTTGTTGACAATGAATTTGAAAAGTAATTATCATGATCTATTTCCCAAAACAATTCTTTCAAAACCTGGCAGACAATTGATTACTGGGAGGTAAACGTACTACAAATAATTTACCCGAGAAAATATCTGTTCTACTTCTGTACATATGATTTTACCAATACATCATCTATTGTTAATAAATTGAATAAATAATTTACTAAAATTGGTCCTAATTTAAAAAAAAATATTAACACGTCCTGATCTTATTCTTCGATTTTGGGTGAACCTTGTTAAAAATCTCCTTTTTTTTCCTTGATTCGATTACCTCTGCTGAAGTACTGTAAATAATTTCATATTTAGACAGCAATAAAGCCACTGGTGTCGATAACATTCCTTCCATCAAAATAAAATTTCTATAGCTGCGCCTCATATACCTTATATAGCTTGTGTCCTTGTGCAAGGCACTTGCATTTGCACCCTGGTATAAATGGATACCTGGTAGGATGATGTGGCATTGCGGATATTAGTCTGTATCGACATTAAATTGTACGCACGACTAGGAATACTTCCCGGGATCAGGAGGAGGTTGTACATTGTGCTGATTTGATTATGGATCCAATTCTAAATATGAAAATATTTCCAGAACTTCATCAGAAGTAATTGGTTTAAGAAAAAAAAAGGATTTTTAACAAGGTTCGCCCACAATCGAATGTGATATGTGATAACTATAAACTTATATCATTATATAATAATACTTTATTTTCAAACAGAAAAACTTGAATCACAAAAATGTTTTCACTTGAACATAAACATAATACAAATTAATATAACAAAGAAAAAAATACAAAAGTAAATTAATAACAGAACTTAATTAACTTACAAGTTATGAAAGGATCTACTGTAAAAAAATGAAATTAAAGTACACAGAATTACATTACGCTAATTAAAACTAAAAATTGGTTTCATTTAGAAATAAAACACTAACTAATACTATACTGTTGATGCACATTTCAATCTTTCATTTAACTTGCGGATGTTTTCTACAGCATTTGATTAATTAAATAATTAATAATTAATTAGCGTTTAGTTAATTACTTGTCAAGAAACTTGTTTTATAATTGTCGTCAATATGGTTGTAGACAAAAATACAGTAATTATTTATTAATATATTTAATAGGCTTAAATCTGATTGAGATCATGAAATAGCCTCTATTGGTATATTTATTGAGTTTCGTGAAGCATTTGACACATTCATAATGAAATTTTACGTTCTACATTATTTCAATAAGGTGTCAGAAGAAATGCTATCTCTGTAATCGAAAACCAATTTGTTTTATCTTGTTCTTTTACTTCTGATGATTTACCTATCACTTGTGTGCCTTATAGCTCAGTCCCTGGCCCAATTTTGTATTTAATTTTTATCAATGATCTTCCAAACTCTACCAGTTATTTCTACTTTTGTTTGTATGCTGGTGACAAATTTCATTTCATTTCATTTTTATTAATTTGTCGTTTATTAACACTCAATTTTAAAATGTTGTTGGCTGGTGCAATTCGAACAAATTGACAGTTAATGCTAAAATCAAAAAATTATGAGATAATTTAAGTTCTTCCGTTAATTTTGTTTGCATTAAATCTGATAAGTTTCTGCCTTGGACGCTCCAAATTTAAGAAATAATAACAAAAATTAGGAAACAAACTGGAATGTTACTTAGATTACAATAATTTGTTCAAAAAAATACCCCTTTAGTGATGCACATTTATCCCCTTTGTTTTATGAACTTAAAATTTTAGGTATTTTAAAGTTACATAGATTATATGTTCTCAAATTTATTTCTAATATTTATCATAACTGAACTCTTTAAAATTTGAATTACATTTTAACTGTTGATCATTATCATGGTACCAGATTCAACAACCCGTATAATATAGATATTCCACAACCTTGTATTTCTTTGGTAAAGTTTGTATTGGTTTTGAACGGGCAAAAATATGGAATGAAATTTCTCTTCACATTTGTAGTATTAGTTCTCGCAATTGTTTTGTTTTTTATTCCAATCCCCCCTCTTTTGTCTTTCAGTTTACTTCATTCTCCTAACTTTGAGGTTGGAGGTTCGTACCTTCGAAATTAATAAAGATTGAATTGAATTGAACTGAACTACAAGTGTAAATGGATAGGATGACATGTCATTGAATGTAATAATCTGTATGGGCATTAAATTGCAAGCATGACTAGAAATATTCCCCTGGAAGTAGAGGAGATTGCATTTTGTGCTGGTTTGATTACGAATCTGAAGACTATAGTAACAGCACCAGCGCCTTGCATCCCAAAACAAAAGGTGTGTGAACGCCGTGATATGAGTTGACGACGGATATAGCAAAAAGACGCAATTTTTTTTAAATGATTATAGCGTATACTTGTGATACATCAACAAAACCACTAAGGTAGGCCTAAGTATTGTTATGTGTTAAAGTAAAGCAATTGTAACTTGTAATTTTTTGAGATGTTCCATTACCAACAATACGTGTTAGCTTCTTTGTAGGTGTGCATGGCATGGTGGAAACAGACTTGGACGGACGAACGCTGGCTTGTTTCGAAAAAAGGATTGCTGATGTGATTAGTACGGCATGCATTTTTATATACTTGTATATAACGGAAAGTAATTTGCAAAAGCATGTTAGACAATTAAATATTTACATATTTTTTATAGTACATGGATAGTACGTGCTTCAGCGTACTTGCGGCCATTTTCACCTAATATTCTTGATGCACCTAACAATACGAGTTAGTTTCTTTGTAGTGTGTGTGTGTGTGCATGGTGTGGTCTAAATATTCTCGAGACAGAGCTGGGCAATTTCCACAAGAACAGTTGCATTGTGATTATATAGGACCACTTTTCAATTAATTTCATTCCAGGGCCACATTAAATAACACATTCTTATGAATTTTAGTTTTCAGAACTCAGAAAAGTTTGTTTGTAGTGTTCAATTTCATCCTCCATTATCTTCATTTCATTGTTTTGTTCTCTCCCTCATCTTTGTATATTAGGCCTTTTCCTCATTTTTTTTATACTTTTCCTGCTTCTAAGCTCATTATTTGTTTTCTTATTTTATTATTTGTTTTTAGTCCTCATGGCTCTGTTTTCTCATTTTATTTTGGTCTCAATTTAATTTATTCTGCTGCTGTGTAAATTACTTTCTAGTTTTCATCAGTTGGTTTTGTAATTTTTTTTTTCTAATGAATCCTTCTTTATTGCTTGTTTTTGATTCCATTCCTCCATAAATGTTTTTTGTTTACACTTATATTTCTTCCTCACTTATATTTATTGTTTTGCTTTATATCCGCCAGTTCTTATCAATGCAGTTCAACAGAAGCACGCTCAACTCCATACGCTTCAAGGTACAGTCCTTTGATCTTGAATTTGTCATCGACAAAACAATACTAGATAGTGAGTACAGCCATGAATTATTATTATCAAAAATACAGAAAATTATTATTATTAAAAATACAGAAATACTCAAGCAAAAAAATTAGGTGCAAAAAGCAATTATTAATTATAAATTACATGAATTATATGTTCTTAAATATATTCTTTATATTTGTCACGGTAGGTCAAAATAATATTGTTTCTTCCGCATTCTAATTGTGAATAGTAATTTGTTTTGGTATATGGTGTACTTTACTTTATTATTGTTTGTTGGTTTTTTTCTTACAGTATATTTACAGTATAATTTGTCTTAAGTGTGAATTGATATAGCTATAGCTTCAGTTATCAAGGGCAATGCTATTTGGTTTGCCCTAATCTTAACTTTTAAGATTTGCTGTAGTTAAAGTATTGCAGTATTCGCGTCATTGCTAATCAATACGTTTTCCTTTTGGTGCCCACTCATCTCATGTTCAAAATGTACAGAATGTTGTATTGAAAATTATTAATGTTTATATAAGTTTATAAGTTTATATTTTTGTTCTGTTTTTTATAGTTTTTGTATTTATTGATGGAAAATATAGAGAAATGGTCAGATATTTCTGATACTAATATGCCTGCTTTTATATACATAGGATTTGAATTAGATTAGATGTTATCAATGATTGTAGCTGAGCTATCACACGCCCTCGTAGGTCTAATGATTAGCGGTTGAAACGAGTTGGAGAGAATACTGTCCACGTAACACTGAATATCACTACACACTGCGTAATGAAGGAGACCTATATTAAAGTCACCTGTAAAGTAAGTCTCTTTTTTCTCTATTTATTAATTGCATCACTAATGACAGCTCTTCATTAAATTCTGTATATAACCCCACATATGACTGATTTGTTATTTTTATTATTAATCTCAATAAAAAGTGCTTCTGCACTCACAATTTTTGCTGATAGATGATCACGTGATGTGTAACATAGGTTTTCAGATATATAAAATGCAACTGTCTCCTTGTTTCCCAACCTATCTTTATGAATAAATGAATAATTGGATAATTGATATAATCCTACAGTCATTATTTGTAAGCCACGTTTCTGTAAGAGCAATAACTGAAAATTTAAAATTTAGTGAAAAAATCTAATTGGAAATGACATTAAATTTATTTACAATGCTTGAAACAATTCAAATGTAAAATAGAAAAATTGTTTCCTGTACATAAAGTAGGCATATTATAATTAGATTTAAAATCTTCAGTGCAGTAATATTTGGTAGATTTAGTACTGATATCATTAATATCATCTGTAAATGACATTTATTATTGCAAGAAGCTGTCTAAATGTACCCATCATTGAAAACATCCGCGTGGGAGACACCTACATCATTCCATCTTCTGAGGTGCGACATATCGGTGTAACGTTTGACTCCACACTATCCATGATTAGACATATTAAAAACACATGCAGAGTAGTATCCTTCCATCTCCGCAACATCAAGGCAGTTAGGCGTTTTTTAAATG